TTAATAATTAACATATTATGTGCACATACATAAATGTCTTGTGCATACGTGCATTGTGATTTAGACTGAGGAATCCATCCATACAGTAACAACTGTGTAGCAAAAGCAAGTTGTGACAAAACCATAGTGCTGCTTATTTTTGACTTGGTGATTGTGGCAGTTTCATGGTGACACTTTAGCTTTAATTGAGACAGTTAAACAAAGGGTTGGCGTGCAGAATGTAAAGTGGAAATAACCTCCTATGACTTAAATCCAGTATTTTAGAGAATGACCTCGGCATAGCATTTGGATGTGGTGCAATACCTTATTATAGAGTCATAAATACATTCTCAGTTTAAGCCACTGTAAGTAAGTAAGTAAGTAAAAATTTATTTATATAGCACATTTCACAGATAAAAATCACAAAGTGCTTTACAGTAAGATCAGACATACAAGTTAAAATTAATTAAATTAGTTAAAAGCCCGTTTGTATAAAAATGTCTTCAGCTGCTTTTTAAAGGAGTCAGTAGAGTCTAGACAGCGTAAAGACAGTAGGGCAAAGGCGTCTTCCTCATTGTCGCTGGCTGCTATTTTACACATTTAATACATTGTTTATTCCAAACGGAGAAGATGTCAGATTGCACCACACGGCCACAGACAAACAAGGTCTGTTCATTTGTTTCCATAGAGTTAGCGTGACAATTATGTGTTTTGAATTTCAGTGTTTTAGGACTTCCTAGCAAATTAAAGATAATTGCCTCGTAAAAAAATATCCTCCAAAATAATCCAGTAAGGCTTCATTTCCCAACAGGATCACAGATGGGAGGCTGTGACATAGTAATGATAGCCACCCACGAGTGTGTGTCTGAACTGAGTGTGGTCAAATCCAGAATTAGGTACAGTGGTTAGACAGAACAATCAAACCCCACTGAGTTCCACGCAATGCTAGTTGTGGCTTAAAAAGTGGCCTGTTTTTTGTTCTTAGTATATTTCCCAGAACTGGAAAATGCAGAGAAGCCCACAACAGTCATGCTTGACTTATCACAGAATGAGAATCTAGATCTGTCTAACCATAGGAGACAACTTTTTCGAAAATCACAGATGAATAAAAATTTAAAAATGAGTCATGGGATCCAGTTCACACTGTATATGAAAAATCAAATGCTTGTGGAGTATGGTATAAGGCAGCTTATGCCTAAACCAGACTGTGCCTGGTCATCACTGTACCTTTCTATGGAGGCAGGTTCCTTCATGGTTCTTGCTGTTAGTGCATTAGGTCTTTTGTGGCTTCTGTTATATAAACTTCCTTTATACAAGTCTGCAGCCCTTCTCTTATCTGGTATATGCTGAGTGACAAGATGGAAGATTTGCATCTTAGTAATGAGTAGGTGAACAGTAACGTTTGAAGGTTAAATTACAGCTTATACTGAAGTTGCATTCTAGGTATAACTTATAAATTGTACCTTCAATTATGTATTGTGAATCTACAATACTCCCTGGGAGCTTATGTTTATATGACTCGCCTCCAGATTTTTGTGGCTGCATGAATATATGTGTGGGTTGTTCTACCAAGTTAATCGAGCAAAAGGCAATGATAGGTTATAACTATAACCTCTGCCCCCAGAAGGATAAGAATGAGGTAAAACACTGTGTTCCCTGCCTCGTAGCTTTGCTTAAAATCTGAACTGCTGGAATGTTTGAATAATTTAAACCGCACCTCACTGCAAGCTGTCACCCAGAGAGGTTTGAGTAGAATCATAACATAACATAGCAGTCATAACTTATCACTTATTGTTTGTCACGGGGAGTGTGGAAAGGAAGAAAGGTTGGTTTTTGTTCCAATTCTATATATTCGGACATGGACACGTTTGAAGTAAGAGCCGCAGAGAGACAGGGAAGTCCAATGAGCCCAGGGGCCAAATGAATCCAGATGTCAGAGCATGTTCATAAGGTGGAGTCGGGTTGTACGGTAGTTGTTTTTCCTTGTTTAAAAGGTCAGTCGTTTCTTTATTCCATTTTTCCTGGCAGTTTCCCACTCTCTTCCCTTTTTCTTCTTTCGTGTTCTTTCTCCGTGTCACTCTCTTGGCAAATATGAAAAGCTCTTTTAACAAGTATGGAATGCCTTAAGGATTCAGTGATCCTGTCATAAACCCACTGAATGATTTGCATCCACTTATGGGGCTGCTGAGAGCTAGAAGACATTTTTTGTTCACCTCTTGTCTTGAGAAAACTTCTGTTTTCTTATGTAGAAAAGACGCTCTGTCTCGCAGAGAGAAAGATTAAACCACGGTATTTCGGAGCATGATAATGTTATAATAACACTATGTAATGCCGTGTAATCTAAACCCGTGGTTGCATCTTGTGGTATAAATGTCCTGCAGCCATTAAGCACTGTGGCCTTGACTGGCAGGCAAGCAGGCAGACCTCACATTGATAACAACTTTGTAGACCAGGACTGGAGGCTTAGAAGACAGTGAAATGGCACTAAAACGCTGTCTTTACAACTTCTTTGGCAGTCTTGCGATTTTTTTCTTTGCCCACTCCCTCTCTTGGCTTCCTATTTTTCTTCTCTTCTACATCTCTTTTTAGCAGGACCTCTTTGAAGGCTTTTCTGACAGCTTTCAGCGAGCAATCCGGCTATAACTTGTCACCCTTTAGCTTTCCAGTCATATTACCTAACAGAGGATTTTTTTCCCCATGTCTCTCGCCCTTAGTTCAATCACACATTCTTTTGTTTTCTAGGCCAATTTTATAGGCAGCAACGTTAAATGTTAGCGGGAGCAGCCCCGATCACAGTGATGTTGTTATCGGGTGTGTTACAAATGAGTTGTGCTTTTTACTGGCTTGTGGGGAGTCCCAGTGTGTCACAGACGGCGGTCATATTAGTGCAGCTGTTGAGGAGGACATGGCTGTTGTTATCCTTCTGTCTGTGAGATGGGAGGGGCTGGACACACACCCACACATACACACACGCACACACACACACACACACACACACACACACACACACACATAGATTTGCTTTGGTGAATGAAGTCTGATGAATCAACATCCTTGTTAAGTTAACATTATTCCAGATGTTTATCAATAAATAAATAAATAAAATTAAAAGTCCAAAATGCCTCATTAATTCTTCATCTGTTATTCGTCTGTTTTCGGTCCCACATACAGTACTGAACAGGTACTGGAGACTAATGTTCTTTTCAGTGACTACTGTACATGTATATGTGTTTGTACCTACATACACGTGTGTGCATGGTTGTTGGAGTGAGAATATGTGCGTCGGCCCCCTCTTTCTCTTTTCTCAGTGTCTGTACAGTTGCTACTGTGCCTTCATGTTTGGTCATGCTTTCAAGGTGACATCACACACCAAGAGAGGAGGGTTGAGTCCACGACATACAGACAGAAACCCACAGGAACCCACACACTTAAATGGAAAAAAAATATATGGAAAGATGGTGGAAGTAAGATCATGGGCGCAGTGTAGAGTTTTGAGTCATGTAGGTGAAATAGGTTGAATAACCTTCAGATTTCAGATTGCAATATGAAATAATTAATGTTAACATTTTTTAAAGTTGCATTCAATGGGAAATCGTATCAATTAGCAGAGAAAAAGTTCAACATTTTAGTAAAATGAAAAGAAAGAAAATTAATTTGGTTGCAGCTCAGCCGTAGACCTGCTAATTTGTATTACAGTTTTTTACAGACGCTAGGACACATTTCCCAATACTTAGGTCACTTTTGCAAAACTCTTCACACAATCCTCCTAACTGACCGTCAGCTTGGCAAAGCAGTTCATTTCACATTCAAAATGCACTACAACTACCAAAACACTTCATTCAGGTCTCAAATAAACTCATTATTCCAGAACACTAGCAAAGGTTGACAGCCGACAAACACACTTTGTCACCCACAAAACAATGACCTGAAAAACACTAACAACATGTAGCATTACACAGTGTTTCCTTGTGTAAAACAAGGACACATCTCTGTTTATAATTTCAATATATGTTACTGGAATGAATCAGACATCATGCAGAATTCGTTAATATTTGTTTATGTATTTTTATTTTTTTGCACTAAGTAATCCCAAAATACAAGAATTTGTATACACACCATCCACTGATACACATACAATAGTAATGCTAATCTACTCGGTCTTCCCTATTTGGCCACAGGTTCTCATCCACATCACATCTTATGTCATCTAGAGCAATACACCTAGGAAAGAATCTTCTGGCTGCCAGAATTGAAGGAGTTGAAAAATTGAAGCAGTAACACCTGTGTAGATGTTCATCTACAATGAGGATCAGCTGTGGCTGGTTAAACTGCATTTTTAGATTTAAAATATGTTTCAATAAAATATTGCTGTTGCATTTTGCTGTCTTTTTAAGTTTGCATTATGTTATTGTTTTGGCCATAAGTTTAACAGTTTTGAAAACAGTATGTAAGCACATGCAAAATGTCCTGTACGTACAAAGATTTTTGGCAGTTGTTGTGTCTGAGTGAGGAGATAATTCATGAAATTTGAGAGATGTAGTCATTGAATGCATTTTGTGCCAAAACAATGATAACTGGTCCTCAGTTTAGCCCACATAGACTTCTATTGTGCTCACTGTGTGAGGAGTTTTGCAAACGTGACCTAAGTATTGAGAAATGTGTCCTAGCGTCTGTAAAAAACTGTAAGTATGTACTTAATAACGTAGCAGATTACAATGGTCAGCATATTATTAAATCTTTATTTCTCTCTCTGTAGAAAAGCAGAGGCATCTTTTCTAAGACATGCATACTTTGCGAATATTTTCCATAACTTTATCCAACTGCAATTCTCACCTCAACTTGATAAACATAAACCAAGCCTAACTGTTTAGTTTCCAGGGTTTTGATATGTGTTTGCAGTTGAAATGCCTTATGCAATTCCTGGTGAGCTTGTAGATCATGTAATTTAAGATTTATTGATGATAGTAATGAAATGTTATTTACTTTCCCTCTGTCTTATTTCTGTGTCTCTCTTCTTTCAGACATGTTCCAGTCCCTATTATCCTTCTCTCAAGGCCACCTGAGTTCGCTGTTGGAGGGAAGCTTCCCATCTCTGTCCGAGCAAGCACTACCCCATGTAAATCAGCTTTTTTCCTCCCTCTCCCTCTACCTCCGTGGAGGTAATGTCTCTGTGGAGGGAGAAGTCCACCATTTTTTTAACAACCTCTTCCCACTTGCATACACGCGCCTTATAAATCCAGGCGTTGAAGGCAGCATAATGGTGGGCAGTAAAATGGGTGACTGTCTCCGTATGATCCGGCCAGATATCAACCCGTTTGGTAATCACGCTGTCGTCATGGCCCAGAAGCTGGCTGGGGCTTTGGGGGTTGGGCGGCAACTCGGTCTGGCCCTGGAAGAAGGTCTGGAGGTCATGAACGCAACCGAATATGCCAGACTGAGCAAGGAGTGCGTAAAGTCCCTGGTGAAGATGATGTACTGCTCCCACTGCAGAGGTCTGACGTTGATCAAGCCCTGTGGGGGCTACTGTCTGAATGTAATGCGAGGCTGCTTGGCTTGCGTGTCAGAATTGGATCAGCCTTGGAGGAGATACACTAGGTTGGTGGAGAAACTTACCCATGCCATGGCCGAGCAGCACAGTTTGGAACTGGCCATGCTGGGCGTCAGAGGGCACGTTAATGACGCCTTGCTTTATACAGAGCTTCATGGTCCACTCATTACTGCCACGGTGAGTACACACTGGTGAAACATCGATCATAGGTTTTAATGCACAAGAAAAGGCCTCCAAAACTTTTCTTCTTTTTGTTTGTTTGTTTAATATCTTTGTTTTATACATGTACCTTGGCAAAGTTTAATATATTGATTGGAAAGCTTTTGCAGCTTGCTTGTCAGTTATGACTTATTTTTTTCCAGCAGTGCAACAAAGAACCCTACACACTACATTAATGTTTCTGCTACGTTGAAACTTTTCAGAGAAAAATAATGTTTATACTGAAAAGAACTTTAGCCCCCACCAAGTTAACTGAGGCTAGAGGAATAATTTTTCAAAATGGTAAGGCAGCTAAAAATCTCCATTGTTTACATTCTGACTGTGGAAATATTGCTCATTGACTATGGTGAACCTGAGACAAAAAGTGGATAAAGCGTATGCAAGTGAGTGCACTTGCATGCTATAAATGCTACCATATGGTTTAAGCAATATGTGTGCACAAGTTAATATTGTCAACAGCATATACAGAGTTTTATAAACTGCTGCCAGAGAAACCTGAAGCTAAACCTGTTCTTTTATGACAGCAAGCATTACAGTTAAGCTGTACCTAGTTAGGCAACTTAGCAAGTAGTACAGAGGTTATAATACATATTGAGTAGTCTTCTTTGATTATTGGTTTCAGACAAAATAGCTTTTGAATCAGGCCATTATTATCACAAGTTCAAAGCACCAGATTGTAATTGCCTAGCAACATCTGTGTAAATAATTTTTCTTTGCCTAAACTTCAAATAATATTTATCTAGAAGGTAAGAAAAACATATTTCATACTTGTAGCAATTCTGGTGACAAATGGCCAGCAGCATATTAAGTAAGTAACTTATGTGCTTCAACATGTGAAACCAGCAGTGTGGCTCTTTTGTTGTGGAGGAATACTACAAAACATAAATGGATCCATATTAATGCATAGACAGTTATAACCTGCACAGATGCTTATAACTTTCTCTGTTTGTGTGTAACAGAGGAGAGTTAGGTGCCAGGCTTAAAGACTGACCTAATAAAAATATGCGGGGAGAGAGACCAAGCTTGTATTTCATGTGTGCGTACGTGTGCCTGCTTGGTATTCATAGGGTGGCAGGCAAGCCCAGAGCAGGGGACTCAGCAGCATGAGGACAAGTGGTACAGAATTGAAAGAGTTCCAGCTAGGCCATACAATCTAGACCTAGTAAGCTGACAAAAAAAGGATCTGGATACTAGTGGCTTTCATATGTTTGAGTAAACACTCACCAAGGTTGGAGCATAAACATGAGCACCCATGTGTAAAAAGTCATCAGACACGCACCCGCACACTAAAAGGCCTACGAGTTCTACGAAATACCCATTGAACCCACTGAAAAATGTTAAACTGTGGTACAAGTGCAAAAATGTGCTTAACTAAAGTCGAGTTGAAAAAAACGAACTCTGCTTCTTTTTTGCCCAGTCAGAGTATTATATGGAGTTGTTATTAAAGGAATTATTCTGACTGTGCGGTTTAATTCTGGGATGCTGTCCCAAGCCATTTGTGGTTTCATTTACTCTGTTAGCTGCAGACTACATGGTCTCCAATATACGTTGCCATACAACACATTGTACATACAAACTCACACAAACGCATACACAGAGGATTGCCCAAGGATGACATTTTTAGCCCAACCTAGCAACCTAGGTCTAACACATTCCTGCTTTTATTGATATAGAGCCTAACTGTGGGTGGGTTGAAGGGAAGTGATTATAGATTTTGGTAGATCCTAGAGTTGGATTATGAGAAGTAGACACCATTAGGGAAAATATGAACAAATATGCAGTAAAACAGTTACTCTTATTGATGCAAAGAGCAGCACCAATGTTCAGTGAGGCTTTCTCAGAATACAGCTGTGTTTAATTCATCTTAAAGTTTCTCCAGATTCAGCTGTGCTTCTGAGGCCATTTGTTGAGATCATTACAAAAATGATATGGCTCATTTGACCTACAGGGAAACCTTATATCTTCATGTGTGGTTATGATGGCCAGACTAGGATAACTCTTAACACATAAAAGCATGTTTTTTTTCTCACACATTCATTCAGTGACTCAGTTGCTTACTAAGCTCTTTATGGTATGTATATGAGAAAATAGCAACAGTGGTCCATATTAGAACAGTTTATATGCAGGTCTACCTTATCCGCTTGTTGGTTTTACCACACCTTCTCATTACGGTCTTACGGAGGAATGATAATAGCAGACTGGGCCTTTAGATAATGGAAACAAGGGCTCGTGGGTTGATTGGAAGCTTTCCATTTACCATCGCGGCACCTCAGTAGACTGCAGAAGTTTACATAGCAAGCACTTTTTCTTTTACACTTGGCAACAATAAAATTAAGGATTATCATTGGTTTGAAAATACAACCTCACTTTCAAAAGTTGGGATAGTAGGCAGAATATAAATAAAACTGAATTTATCGAGTTGCAAATGATTTGAAGCCTATATTTCATTGTAAATAGAACAAAGACTAAGAACTGAATGCTGCGACTGAGAAATTGGACTGTTTTTTAAATTAAAAAGTATGCTAATTACAAATTTGATAGCAACTAAAGCACACATGGATCCATCCTACAACTACTTAGGTTAATTGTCAACAAGTAGTAACACAAATGATCAAACCAAAGAGGCTGAGTGTTTTAGAAGTAAAGATGAAGAGGGATTCACCCAGCTGTAAAAGGTTGTCTCATCAAATAGTTAAGCTATTTAAAAATAATCTTTATGTCTTTTTAGTTAGCTTTAAAAATGTTTTATATGATAGTTTTATTATAGTATTGTTAAAATAGAGAATCGAGATAAATCTTCAGGCAGTGCTGCATTAAAAATAGACACAGTTCTGGGGTGGATGTGGCTTCACTGGTTTAGGAATACATGTGAAAAAGGTCAGTAAATTTATTGTGTTGCTGCATCCACAAATGCAATTTAAAACTATTATGCAAAGATAAAGTCAGATATAAAGAAGATCCACAAAATCCACCATCTTATCTGGGTTTGTGCTCATTTAATTTGGAGTTAGGCAAAGTGGAGAACTGTTGTTCTTAAAAGTTAAATGGAATATCTGGTCTAAAGACATTGTTCTGTATCAGTGTGTGGTTCAAAAGACAGCGTCTTAGGTACTTTATAGTGCACGTGGCATGGGTAACCCACACATCTGTGAAAGTTCCACTTGCTGAAAAAATGTAAACAGGTTTAGGAGCACCATGTGCTGTCGTTCAGATGTCTTACTTATTTTAGCAGGACAGTAGCAAACTACATTCTGCACATGTTGCAACAGCACATGGTTCTGTGACCAAGAGAGTACAAAGATCAAACCCTTTTTAATAGTAATACACGAAGGAACTGAAATCTTTAGTTCCCAAACAATTAGAAAGGTGATTAAAAAGGAGGTGATGCCAAAAAATATGTTTACTTTATATGTAAAATATGTACTTTCAGACCATTTTCATCATTTGTTTCAGATATGCTGATGAAAACAGTTCAGAAGGTCTTTTTTTTAATCATCTTATATGACACACATGCTCAGGCTTTTATATATACTTTCTGTATCTGATATTTCAGACTGTTAGCTTAATGTTTGCTGCCAAATAATGCAGATGGCAAATCTATATGCTTAAACCATCTTTCTAAATTGCGTGTGCCTTTGGCACGCCTCTAAACATCAGGCGGAGTGACTGACTTAGTCAGCAGTCCATTAGCTAATGATGGTTGATGCAGCCCATCTTATCCTCAGTCGCCCTCACACATTTCTGCCACTCTCAACTTCTCTCACTGTAATACTGTATGCTGATCATATGCAGCCACACCACAACAAATATACAAACAAACAAGAAATATAAAAACAAACAAATGAATAAATAAATGTTGTTATAACAGCCATAAATGTGATTGAGAGTGGAATGCCTTTGCCTCTGAACACAAAGCAGTTGCACTCAGTTTAATATCTTTCTCTAGTAATCTTTACTTTGGAGTGATGGATTGACAGAATCATATTGTTTCAGAAGGCACACCATCTTGGATCAATCTAGTGGAATCTAGTGTGTGGTTTTTCTTCAGAGCTCGTGGTCGGCTACTGGATGGATTGTTTGTACAGACAGAAAACAGGCAACAAAAAGAAACTTTATCAGTATAATAAATGAAAGAATGTTTCCAGCACTTTGGTATATTGATCATAGTCTGTAAGCTTCTCCAATCAAAGTCCAGATTTGTGTAATAAACTTCAATAGTGCCATCCAATGTAATAAAATCATGTTTGTTTATTTATTTATTTTTTTTGTCTATTACATAGTAAATCAGAATACCTCATCAAGTCATATTACCTCTCATATTGATCCAAAAAAAGTCGGATTCCTGATGAGACTTTTTGTTCTTTACAACACACAAATTCCTGATACCTTCTCGTGGCTTAAGCCAAAAGTTAGACGTCTCTCCTAATTAAATAAACATAAACACATTTTCTGACGCTGAATGCACAAAAATCACACTTCAGTGATTCTTATTTATAGTGCTTCCTGAATCCTGTATTTTGAACTAGCTACCATAATAATATCAGGCAGCAGCTGCTGCAATGTTAACACAAGTGCCTGCTGCATCTGTGTTATGATTTTCATGGTAAACGCTGGCCCATTAGAAGCCTTCATGAACACATGGGCTCCCAGTTTCTCTTTAGATGCTTATTTTCTCTCCCTGTGGCCGTATGTTCCACAATATATTGTAGAGACAGACAAGATGAACTCACTTGACTTTCCCAGTCTCTTTCTCTTGCTTTCTTTTCTTTTTCTCTATATATAACACTACTTGAATCCACTGAGACGTCTTGGCACATTCGGTATCTGTAATTCTCAGAAATGTATTTACAGTTTTGCATAAACGTTGTCAACAAACTCCACAGTAACACCCATATTCACAAGAAGAAAAAAAAACAAAAAACAAAAAAACAAGAGGCTCTCATTTTTAGATCATCTGC